GACCACTAAAATGGACCCAGCGGATTTTCGTGAGTTTGAGATGGATCTGTTCGATCTAGACTTTTCTCTACAATGTTCTCATGCCGAGTGGAAAGGAACTTCTTCCAGAAAGGACAAAGAGGCTATTCTCGAGAGGGCACGAATGGAAGTGGCCGAAATGCCTTGGTTGAGGAGTTTGTTGCCGGAGTGGTTACAGCTCTTCACAAGTTGTCCTGAGGACTGGTCCGATGCTTCTAACCCTTTCCTTGGATCCGACTACGGTCCTGTTGGAGGTCCACGGAGTTTCCAAAGAGCCTCTAGGAGACGCAGGGCCAGGATTCCAGCCCGTGCTCCAACAGCCATGATCCCGGTGTGGGATTCCCGGCCTGCTAGCCCCAGGCATGCTAGCTCCCTGTCTCCCAATTCCCAACCTGGCACCATACGCCTCGGTGGGATCCGTCTGAAGTCAACCCATGCTTCTGCCCCAGTTCCTGCTCCTATCCAGGAGTCGTATGACGGAATGCGCCGGCTTATGGAGGTCCACGGAGTATTCAGGCGGCTGCGAAGAGAAGGAGTCGCAAGGCCAGGTTAGCAGCCCGAGCCCCAGCAGCCATGGTTCCGGCTACAGAACCGGCCCACACAGCCATGGTTCCGGCCCCAGTTCCGGCCCCGGCAGCCATGGGTTCGGCTTCAGTGCCGATCCCGGTAGCCATGGTCCCGACTCCAGTTTCAGCTATAGGACTGGCTGTCCGTCCGACGCCAGCTCCCCGTTTCCTGTCGGCATACCGGCTGACTCCAGCACCTCGTCTCCTGTTGGCTGTCCGTCCGACGCCGGCTCCCCATGTCCTGTCGGCGTGCCGGCCGACTCCAGCACCTCGTCTCTTGTTGGCTGTCCGTCCGACGCCAGCTCCCCGTGTCCTGTTGGCTGTCCGTCCGACGCCAGCTCCCCGTGTCCTGTCGGCGTACCGAATGCCTCAAGTCTCCTCTCGAGTCCCTGCTCAAGTCCCCTCTCCAGTCTCCTCTCAAGTTTCTACCCGAGTCACCTCTCAAGTCACCTCTCAAGTCTCCTCTCGAGTCCCCTCTCGAGTCTCTTTTTACATTACATTACATTGCATTTAGCTGACGCTTTTATCCAAAGCGACTTACAATAAGTGCATTCGACCAGGAAGATACAACCTTGAAGAAAACAGAATCATATAAGTACATCAGGTTTCATAGAGCCAAACATTTCAAGTGCTACTCAACTGGCTTTAGATAAGCCAGCCCTTTATTAGTGTATATAAGTGCTTTGTTAGTAATTCAATCGCTCGAAGTGGAGTCTAAAGAGATGAGTTTTCAGTCTGCGCCGGAAGATGTGTAAGCTTTCTGCTGTCCTGATTTCAATGGGGAGCTCATTCCACCATTTTGGAGCCAGGATAGCAAACCCACGTGTTTTTGCTGATGGGAACTTGGGTCCCCCTCGCAGTGCGGGTGCAGCGAGCCGTTTGGCTGATGCAGAGCGGAGTGCACGTGCTGGGGTGTACGGTTTAATAGCAGACATAATTAAGATGAAATGTGTAATTACAAAAAACAAAACAAAGGTTGGCATGAAGTCCACCATACACTGAACTTAAGAACTCAACTTTAAGATGTTGTTCGTTTATGCTAATTGCATTCACTTATTTATTTTTCAATGTAAGATAACTTGGTGAGTGAGGGGGTTTACCTCATGATGGCATAGCCGCTGATCTGCAGGAACTTGAAGAGCTCCTGGGCCTTCTCTCTGTCTCTGTACTTCTCTTTAGCGGTCAGGGTGTCATAGGGAACCAGCAGCGGGTGGCTCCCTCCTCCTGACAAGGCAATTCAGATTCACACAAATAAAAAAAGTCAGAATTGCTGAAGTTTGAATATTCTAATAAGGGCAAAACATTTCCTCTCAAACCATGAACTTACACACCTTTGCTAACAAGTTCAGATTTCTTCTTCTTGGACCAGATGTTGTGGTAGTTTTCTGCAACCACCTCCACCATGCCCTGCAGATACAGTAAATAAAACAGATTAGAACATTTTTGCCACTTTATTAGTTCAGTCAGACAACTCACGTGTTTCTTAATATGTTTATTAGAAGCAGCATATAGTTTGAGTTTGGCGTCTAGGCTCGGGTCTCATCACTCCACAGATTTACAAAGAACATTGAGTGATGATTAGATAACTATCCCCCGAGCCTACAGGTGGAAGCTGGGGAGGAAGCTGGGGAGGTGGGGGGGGCAGGCGAGCAGCAGCAACATGAAACACAGCAGCAGGAACATGAACGCAGCAATATCAAGTGAACACAGCAGTGGCAGCATAGCAAGGAGGCAGAGGCAGGAAGACCTGGCAGCTTAAATAGAGCGGCATGTTTAGGAGAATGTGTTTGGTTGGTTGTAAGAGGGACGAGGTGCGTCACGTGTTAATGTATCATTGGTGCTCCAGTTGACTGCCTGGACTAGCTCGCAGGCTTCGCCCCATATCTATTTATTGTCAATATAACAACATTTAAAAAAAAGGTTGAACAGAAACTAACCTGTAGCTCTCTTGACAAAGTGACATTGTTCAAATCCATTGGAGCAGGACTGAATCCATCATTCTGCAGAGTCAGGAAGATAAAAGCACAAATTATTTCTGTTTAAATCAATGTGTAGTTAACTTTCATCAGTTGACTTAATATAGCTGTAATTAGATTAAAGGTAGGGTAGGTCATTTTGGAGAAACCAGCTCGAGTGCGCTCAAATTTGAAACTACGCAGCTGAAAAAAATCTGCCCCTTCCTTCAGACTTCCTTACAGAGCCCCTCCTCCAACACACACGAACGCGCACATGACCAATGAGGGCACGAGATAAGTTTGTGCATGAGATGGAAGGCTGACAGGCAGGTAGGCCATCCAGTTATTTTACCCGGGCCGGCTCAGATGATTGGTCGTGCTTTTTACAGCGCCACGGCTTCCAAAGATGACATTTTTTTTATGTATTTATTGTCAAAGCACTTCAGATATTCATTGCTATCGGGACGTTAAGAGCATTCCATGGAATATAACAAAAAGTGTTTCTGAAGTGAATTACCTACCCCACCTTTAATGTCCGACTCAAAGCTTTTACTTTTTGGTATATTTTCTTTAAAGAAAACACATGACTCGGATCAATAAAGTATCCATCTATCTTGACTGTTGTCCATAAAAAAAGAAACTGCAGCAGATATTTCCTAATCCAAAAGATTCATGCTTTTCAGTATTAATGTTGCCCAATAAAATAAAATGAATAAAGCAAAACACTAAAGTGCGTCGTGAGGGTAATTCTTTCAGGGCAAAATGGTCGTCCTTACACTTCATTTTTCAACGGGACTTGCTGAACACGGTGAAAAAACAATACAGCATATGTTTTATTTAACTTAAAAAAGGAGAACCTTTATTTATTTATGTTATTATAAAGAAAAACATTTGTGACATCCTTATCATGTAATCATGATTAAAAGTAATATCACAGAGAATAACACATCGGGATGTTACCTGAGGGTCGGGGGTCTTTCGTTTTTCACTCTCTCGTTGTTGGATCACGGACTCTCCTTCCTTGGACCGCTCGATGTTCCAGCCCATAGCCAGCATGCTCTTCAGAGACTCCTTCACTGGCCAGCGGTACGTTTCTCTCTCCTACAAATTCAACACAAACAAGAGGAACCACCAGTAAACACAGCTCAACACAGGGGAAAACACTTATACTGACATACATGTACATTTCAAATGTATTTCTCTTTTTGAATTTTATATTAATAAAAAGAAAGGGTGAGGCCTAACACATTTAGATGCATGCTTGATGCTCCCCTTGACTGACTGAATGAATAGCCTAATATGATTAAGGTTGTCAAATGTCTTTAAATTGTGTTTGACTTTTCAATGTCAATAATCCCCACATACACCTAAATCAGGGGTTTCAAACTCAAATACACAGTGGGCCAAAATAAAAAAATGGGTACTAGTCGAGGGCCGGACTGGTTCAATGTTTATTGCAAAACTCATTGAAATGAACTTATTGCACATATTAAACCTGGAACTAACTAAGCTTAAATTATTGCCCATTAAAACAACATTAAATAATCAGTTGCATTCATTTCTTATGGCTCTATCTGCAGCTTTCCCAGAGTCATTTCTTATGATTACATTTTTCCACAGGCCAACAACAGCTTCAAAAAAACTATTTCCCTCAAAGAAAAAACCAAACATGCCCTGTTGTCGTGAGAAAAAAAGTGCAGAAGGAAACATCCATTAAACTCAGTGTGCTGTTCTGTGATGCTAGTTCAAGCAGATACTTGGCATCTCATCTTGGGTGCAAGGTCATCATTGTTTGGGCTCAGGCTCTGAGCTGAGGAGACCCTCAGGATGGAGTGAAGGTGTGCGTGCAATATACCGGCGGGCCAGAGCTAATAGTAATTAGAAATTATCCTGCGGGCCGAAATTAAATCCACCAAGGACCTGATTTGGCCCCCGGGCCTTGAGTTTGACACATGTGTCCTACATGAACCATTTCAGGTAATGGCTCACCTGGTCTCCATCGTATACACAATCAAAGATAATGCTCAGCAGCAGTAGCTGTGTAGTACGTACCTTCTCACTCAGCGCTTTGTAAGGCTTCAGCAGTGGATGAGTTTTAGCCTGGTCGTCCAGACTGTCTCCTTGTTTCCAGCCTGCTGATACCTGCAACAACAGTGTATTGTATAAAGTGTGGTCTTTTGCATTTCCTGCTCTTAACTGCAATCATAACAAATACAAATATGTCA